TGGGAGGATTGATTATTTCTTTGACATATCTTCTTGTAGAGTATCTTAAGTATGTATAGGTTTTAAACTACTAACTAATTTGCACACACATATTAACATAATAGGAATACGGTGACATAAACAAAGCAAATCTATAATTACCATCCATCTCCAGTGAAGCCAAGAAAACCATTTAGGCACCCTAGGCATTTGTGAAAATTTGTCTATGATATGATGGATATTGTCCAGCTTGTACAGTACTTTTTAGTTTGATGTAGTCTCACTTGTTTATCTTTGCTTTTGCTTCTACTGCCTGAGGAGATGTGTCCAGGAAAAAATTGCTCATGCGTATGTTCAAGAGATTTTTGCATGTGTTTTCTTCTAAAAGTTACATGGTTTCATGTCTTATATTCAGGTCTATGATCCCTTTTGAATTTACTTTTGCATATGGAGTTAGTCAGTAACTCATTCTCTTGCATGTAACTGTCCAGTTTTCCCAACACCAGTTATTGAAGAGACTGCATTTCCCCTATTTTATCATTCATGGCTCCTTTGTCATATATTAATTGACCATGTATGTGTGGGCTCTCTATTCTTTTCCAGTGATCTACTGGTCTGCTCTCGTGCATACCACATGGTTTTGATTACTGTAGCTTTGTAGTATACCTTGAAGTCAGGGAGTGTAATCCCCCCAGCTTTGTTCTTCTTTCTTAGGATTGCTTTGGCTACTCAGGGTCTTTTGTGGTTCCATATGAATTTTGGGGTTATTAGCTTTAGTTCATTGAAAAATGTCATTGGTATTTTGATAGAGATTGCACTGAATCTGTAAAGTGCTTTGGGAGGGATGGCCATTCTGACAATATTAATCCTTCCTATCCATGAAAATGGGATAGATTTCCATTTATTTGTGTATTCTTAATTTCTCTCATGAGTGTCTTATAGTTTTCAGAGTACAGGTCTTTCACCTCCTTGGTTAGATTTATTCCTAGGTATTATTCTTTTTGATGCAATTGTGAATGGAATTGTTTTCCTGATTTTTCATTCTGCTAGTTTGTTGTTAGTATATTGGAATACAAGATTTCTTTGTACTAATTTGTATCTTGTGACTTCACTGAATCCAGTTATTAGTTCTAATAGTTTTTTGGTGGAGTCTTCAGGGTTTTCTATATATGGTATTATGTCATCTACAAATAATGACAGTTTTACTTCTTCATTACCAATTTGGATGTTTTTTTTATCTTGCCTGATTTTTGTAGCTAGGACCTTCAGTACTAGGTTGAATAAGAGTGGTGAATGTGGACATCTTTTCTTGTCCCTGATTTTGGAGGAAAAGCTTTCAGCCTTTATTAAGTATGATGTTAGCTGTGGGTTTGTTGTATATGGCCTTTATTATGTTGAGGTATGTACCCTCTATATCCATTTTGTTGGGAGTTTTTATCATCAATGGATGTTGAATTTTGTCAAATGCTTTTTGAACATCTATTG